AGCTGGATGGAGACTCTCCATGACCGCTGATGTCACACTTGTAGAGGCCTTCATCAGACCTGGAAACATGCTGGATGGTCATGTGACCTGTAGGCTGCTTCCTGATGAGGGAGCCATCTTTATAGAAAGCAGCTGGGAGGTTGGAGGGAGTGGTCTCTGTTTTACAGAGCAGAGTGACGTCATCTCCCTCCATCACAGGGAGGACAGGACTCTGCAGGATCACTGATCCACCTCAACACAGAGACAAACTACAGCATTTCATCCATTTACACACAGCTTCATCAACACTAACTCCACACACTCAGCTTACCAGTGACTGTCAGCTTAACCATGTTACTGATGGGACCCTCTCTGGACTCACACCAGTAAACTCCAGTGTCCCATTTGTAGATGTGACTGATCTTACAGGAAGATCCAGCTGGTTTTCCCCACCCATCTCCACACTGAGTCCTCTGCCGTCTGCTTGTGTTTCTCCTCAGAGTCCATCCAGCAGAGCTGTCGTCCTCCTCACAGCTCAGAGACACAAAGTCTCCTTCAAAGAACTGAGAGCTGCTGGGACTCACAGTCAGACGAGCTTGATTTGTTGTGCAAAACAGCAGAGTGATCAGAACTAGAAGAAATTACACTTACAGTCAGTTGTCAGAAAAACAAAGTACAGTGGGGCAAAAAAGTATTTAGTCAGCCACCGATTGTGCAAGTTCCCCCACCTAAAATGATGACAGAGGTCAGTAATTTGCACCAGAGGTACACTTCAACTGTGAGAGACAGAATGTGAAAAAAAAATCCATGAATTCACATGGTAGGATTTGTAAAGAATTTATCCGTAAATTAGGGTGGAAAATAAATATTTGGTCAATAACAAAAATACAACTCAGTACTTTGTAACATAACCTTTGTTGGCAATAACAGAGGTCAAACGTTTACTATAGGTCTTTACCAGGTTTGCACACACAGTAGCTGGTATTTTGGCCCATTCCTCCATGCAGATCTTCTCGAGAGCAGTGATGTTTTGGGGCTGTCGCCGAGCAACACGGACTTTCAACTCCCGCCACAGATTTTCTATGGGGTTGAGGTCTGGAGACTGGCTAGGCCACTCCAGGACTTTCAAATGCTTCTTACGGAGCCACTCCTTTGTTGCCCGGGCGGTGTGTTTTGGATCATTGTCATGTTGGAAGACCCAGCCTCGTTTCATCTTCAAAGTTCTCACTGATGGAAGGAGGTTTTGGCTCAAAATCTCACGATACATGGCCCCATTCATTCTGTCCTTAACACGGATCAGTCGTCCTGTCCCCTTGGCAGAAAAACAGCCCCATAGCATGATGTTTCCACCCCCATGCTTCACAGTAGGTATGGTGTTCTTGGGATGCAACTCAGTATTCGTCTTCCTCCAAACACGACGAGTTGAGTTTATACCAAAAAGTTCTACTTTGGTTTCATCTGACCACATGACATTCTCCCAATCCTCTGCTGTATCATCCATGTCCTCTCTGGCAAACTTCAGACGGGCCTGGACATGCACTGGCTTCAGCAGCGGAACACGTCTGGCACTGCGGGATTTGATTCCCTGCCGTTGTAGTGTGTTACTGATGGTGACCTTTGTTACTTTGGTCCCAGCTCTCTGCAGGTCATTCACCAGGTCCCCCGTGTGGTTCTGGGATCTTTGCTCACCGTTCTCATGATCATTTTGACCCCACGGGATGAGATCTTGCGTGGAGCCCCAGCTCGAGGGAGATTATCAGTGGTCTTGTATGTCTTCCATTTTCTGATGATTGCTCCCACAGTTGATTTTTTCACACCAAGCTGCTTGCCTATTGTAGATTCACTCTTCCCAGTCTGGTGCAGGTCTACAATACTTTTCCTGGTGTCCTTCGAAAGCTCTTTGGTCTTGGCCATGGCGGAGTTTGGAGTCTGACTGTTTGAGGCTGTGGACGGGTGTCTTTTATACAGATGATGAGTTCAAACAGGTGCCATTCATACAGGTAACGAGTGGGGGACAGAAAAGCTTCTTACAGAAGACGTTACAGGGTTGTGAGAGCCAGAGATTTTCCTTGTTTGAGGTGACCAAATACTTATTTTCCACCCTAATTTACGAATAAATTCTTTACAAATCCTACCATGTGGATTCATGGATTTTTTTTTCACATTCTGTCTCTCACAGTTGAAGTGTACCTCTGGTGCAAATTACTGACCTCTGTCATCATTTTAAGTGGGGGAACTTGCACAATCGGTGGCTGACTAAATACTTTTTTGCCCCACTGTATATCCGCTTTCAAGTCTAACGTTTTACATATAATCAATTCATAAAAAAAAGTCATTTGGTATTCAGATTAACTGTGAAAGTTTAAATCCTTATTGATTGTTGTTAAAGTTAACAATGCCATAATATAAAGAAAAAAGGAGGCGAGAGTAGTGGTTGTAATTGCAACAAAGCTGAGCAATACTTCAGTTAAATCCCCAAATTAAAACATTGAATTGAAATAAGTTTTGATTACAAATTAGGCGTTTTTTACTAAAAAAAAAATCCATTATGGTGGTATGAATGCATTCATACCACCATAATGGATTTTTTTTTAAATGGGGAAAATTAAAAGAAAAAATAAAAAGCATCTTTTTACGCAGGAAATCGTGGCTCTGACTACATATATGTTGGTTGACCTGAGAATAACGCAAAACATTTTTACACTGTTTTCAACTTCCAGGTACTTTTCATGAAAGTGAATCATAAAAATCATAAAAAAATCAGCTGTCCAAGCTCATACAAAAATTTACAATCTGAACCTTCAAAACAATTTTTTAGGTCTTTTATGCCTTTTATGAATGTGATCACGGAAATTGGTGTAAATAAAACTACACTGCGAAATGCAAATTGTACATCTGAGAATTTTCAGTTTGTGCTTCACTTCTCACCTTAGTTCTGAAACAAAAGAACCAACAGGACCAACCCCAGTAGATAAGCAGAATTAAAACAAAATATAATTATCATCTTCGTTTTTCTATTCTTGTTGTCATCATCTTATTTCTTTTGATCAGAGCAGACAGTACAGTACAAAGGCATTTAAACACATTTTTACTTACAGAGCAGGCATTGCACAAATATGTTCTTCATTTTCCTTTTCAGTAATCAGATTTTTTTTCCTGTGATATCAGCTAAACCCGTCCTCTTCCTGCAAACAGTGGGGACGGGGCATAACACATATATAGATGTTATGCCCCGTCCCCACTGTTTGCTTCCTTCTTCACTCATTTTGTAACAGAGTATGTCCCTCTCTCACTCTCAGACTAAGCAGTGTTATTAGTCTTAACAATGTTTCAAAACAATCTAGCATCTATCACACAGCAACACCCAATGGACAGTTTTTGTAATGTCACATTTTAATAAGGCGATAACGTGAAACAACACAGCAAAGACTTGCACAATTCAAAATAAAGCTAATACAATATATCAGACTATCATTAATTTCACAAATACTATTTTCCCCATGTTGCCTGTTTGTTCAGATGCTCAATCTGAATGTTGATTACTTTAGTGTAGGCTGCAGTGAGCTTTAGTTACTGCAGTGGGAATTATTGTTTTTACAAATTACCTTCCCACCCTTAAAGAAAAAGAAGCATTCCCTTCGCATACTTGATGTGGGTACGCATTGCACTAACAACCTCCTCCTTTTTGTCAATTTTCTTTTCACCATGGCTAAATTTTAATATGAAAGCAGCACTTTTCCAGTTTAGGTGGAAGTGTTTAAAGTGGTCCGTCTTCAGTTGAATTCCATTTTATTTATATAGTGCCAAATCACAACAACAGTCACCTCGAGATATTTCATATTGTAATAATATAAAAATCTTACCATAATGCAGGAAAAAACCTCAACAATCAGATGAACCTTTGTAAACAAACACTTGGCAACAGTGGGAAGAAAAAACTCCCTTTTAACATTAAGAAACCTCCAGCAGAATCAGGCTCAGGGAGAGGCGGCCATCTTCCATGACTAGTTGAGGGTAAGGGGATAAAAACAGGACAAAAGACACACTGTCAAAGAGAGCAAGAGGTTAATAATGTCACAATTTCCAGGGGCAAATCGTGCAGAGAGAGAGGAGTGGACTCAAACGCAGACATGGATGCAGGAGAATGATTTAACAGAAAACAGGCCTTTATTTTGGCTGATAAAATACACTACAAACGCGTGGAACACAGAAAACTAACCTGAACCCACTGACACACAGAGACACGGAGGGAATGAAAAAAGAGAGAGATACTGAAGAAACGCAGCTGGGAGAAATCAGAGCTAGTGAGACAAGGGGACGAAAAACCAGACCCACAAAAAAAAATTCCTGCATATTTTTTAAGTGAAGGACAACCTGGTTACCTGGTTCAAAACGACTTCCTCATAGTATTACTGGAGGTTAAGGCAATGGCATCCATATCAAGAATCTGGTTAGATACCGTATTTCAAAGATATTAGGTTACAGCTTATCGATTTAGTGATATAGTATTTGGAAGGTTCAAATAAATACAGGCCCCCCTTTTTATTTACATTCTGGTCCAGTGTGATCTACGTATAAAAATTTCACAAATGACTAAACAGAAAGGTTTCTCGGTTTCCCAGCTGGCCGCCCTATTCTGTATAAGTCACCAGAGGGCAGCAAAATACAAGGGGAAGAAAAACGTATGGGCTCCTGTGCTATTGTTACTTTAAAACCTGTGATGTAGCTTAAAAGCACACTATGCTGCCTTTATAGGTTTTAAACATGTCGACGGGTTAAAGATGGTTAATAAAATTTTACTTTGACATATTCTACGCAGCAGTGTTGGTGCAGACTATACACACCCCCACCGCAGAACAGACAGCAGAAAACGTAAACAGCCTCTCTGATTGGTGGATTCAAATTTAGCAGTTATGTAAGCGAATACATTTACTATCAACAACAGATATGTCTGTATAACATTAGGCTACTGGTTGGTCATTAAATAACATGTACAACTAAATTCAGTGATCTGCGAGTAAGAAAAACTATCATCGAAATGAAGTAGAGCAACAGAAGTAGCAAAACATTTGAATCGCAATGTGATCACGTGATTTACAGGAACGGGTGCAGCTCAGCAAACCTCCTCGAAATAGCACTCAACGTCCACACGCACACGCGCGCGCCCAATCGCAGGATCTACAGTTCAGCCGCTTTTCGGTGGCTTACAACTGAAGTTTAATCAAACTTATTATTAAACTTCAATTGTTTGCTGTGATGGTCGTTATCACACTCACACAGCTGAACAACATGAAATGAGAGCGAACATGGTGCCCTTCCTGGTTTTGCTGTTTCTCTGTCAACGGATTTCTGCCACCGAAGGTACGGAAGTATTAGGTTAATGTATGTTATATGTGCCGTAAACTGTGACACATCTTTTTTGGTACTGTTCTTTTACACAGAGATTCTGGAAGGAATTTAGCAGGTTTGTTATTGTCCATATTTTAAGGGAGTTTTCTTTACGATGGGAAAATGTTTTATTCTGTTTCTTTAAGTTCCCAAAGAAGTATGATAAATGTTTTTTTATGATAAATTTGTTAATACTTTTAGCTAAATTTTTTATCCATAAATGTAAGTTTACTAACAAAACACCATATTTCTGTCATTATTTTAAGGATGTGGAAATGTACATACATTCAATATCAGACTCCACCAACAAAAATATGGAACGCCAGGACTGCCATAATGAATTAATTAAATACACCATTAAATAATTAATTAAATGTGGCAATAATTAATTAAAAAAGGAATTAATTAATTAAATAAATAGTTATGACACATGTAATTAATTAATTGTTGACACATTTAATTAATTATTTATGTATTTCACATTTTAATTAATTATTGACACATTTAATTAATTATTTAATGATATATTTATTTATTTCATTTTGGCAGTCCTGGCGCCTGGCTCTTATCATGAAATAATTTTATCTGTCAGCCTCACCCATCAAACTCAGGGGGCGGGGTTAAAGCTGCCCATGCAGCTTCTCTAACATTTGATTGGTTGCCGTGCAAAGTAAGTCAAAACAGGTCGATCCTAGATAATCGATTGCTTGTGTAGACTTGGGGCAGCCAGTTATCCCAGAATGCAGATCAAATCACAGGCAGCAATGGTGGTGGTGTAGTTTTTCTGTCACCAGCTACACTTTTAACAGTGTTTTAGCCGCGAATGTCGCGACGTGTGTCTGGTCAGGTTGTCAACATAGAACATGTTTGCAAAAGTGCTCAGATGTTTTCAGAGATTTCACTAGCTCTGCTAACAGTTAGCATGCAGAGTGCACCCAGGGGGTACGTTAACCGGTTTGTTTACATATTCCACTCTCCGTGTTCCACATGTTGCATTCGCAGATTCTCATTTTGACCGAACGATCGTCTCTTTCCGCCTGGTCTTGTGTCTCTGTGCTTCTGTAACATAAAGAACGAGCTGACATTTTTCTCACGAAACCAGCGATCAGCTCAGCAGACCCTCAGTTTACCTGCATGCATCCTCCTCCTCACCTGTCAGCTGTTTAACACCTGCTGCTAATTCAAGAAACACGCCTAGTTACCTGGTGATAGTCACAGTTTTAACTGGGCAGCCGGTGCTCGATATAAAGCAATGTCAGCGCATTTTTCTGCACAAGATAAGGAAATATAGTGTTTTCCCCGAGCGCAGAGCTGCTGGAGCTTGTTTCCTTACAGAGCACTTAATAGGCGAACAGCTTCATCAGCGGCTGATGTCCAATCACCGGCACACAGCTTTCAAACCTCAGCTGAGTTTTAGCTCTCAGTGGTTAAACGCTGGACTTCATTCACTCAGGTTCTGTCTGTCGGGTCACGTTTACTTCGCTGTTTTATTTACAACTGAGCAAATCGGTTTGGCTGAGGTTAAAGTTACGTTTCATAACTGCATAGTTTCACAGACGTTTAATGGTTCACTGGCACATGTGTTAGACTGAACTATCATCTAAATATCATCTGTTTTTAATAGTTATTCAACTGTATTCTAAGCACCAGCTGTCTGTTAGAATGTGATTTTTTTTCTCTGTCTGTTGGCAGAGGTATAAAAATGCGCAGGAAAATCTGACGTGCATGGCGAACTTCACCGACGATATTTAGGGAGGAATAAACACACATCAAACATAAATGAACCATTTGTCTGTCTCCATAATTGAGAGCATTTTCTCTTCTTATGTCAACACTCTCTCTCTTTTTTTTTTTTTTTTCGCTTTTTCGGTCATGTTATGTTTACCTGTCAAAGGCTTGTTACAAACTATGAAACACATTGTGCAGACTTCTGGATGTTAGAAGAAAACTAATACTGCTCATGAAGGAGACTAAAGGCAGGAAGGTGTCCTTTAAAACTAAACATGTTAATAGGACCTCCCTGTTTATATCATAGTTTATGATATAGCACGTGTATTTCAGTAATAGCCTGCTGATTTCAGTGTAGTGGTGAACAGTCGCACAGCTTACGTAGGCATTATCTGTGATACTCCTTAACTATAATTTATCCAAGTTAACTTCAGTTAACCATTCAGACGGTTCTTTTGCAATGAAAAACATAAACACAGCTGTTAACATTATAGCTGCTTATGCAGTAACCATGGTAACCACGGACTGAGCGGCTGGATCGACGGAGGTCAGACAACAATTTTACATGTATGATCTTAAAACAGGACACAGCCACTATACGTGCTGGCCTCATATCAAATGTGAAGGCAGACTGAGTCTATGTTTGACGTTTTTTATATCTAATCTTCCTTTTCAAACATTTAAACAGCAGCGAGTCTGCAGCTGAGGGAATACAAACTCAAATTGTCGGAACAGGTTTGCTCGTTTCTTGGATTCATTTGGTGATTTATTAAATGTATAACTGTTATTCTAATCTGCTGCTGAGTCTCTTACACTTTTCTTTATGCTGTATATTTTCACGTCTCTGGAATAGTTGGCAGTTAGATAGTCAGCTGGGAAACTTTGTGTTAACTCATGGAGCTGAGGATATCGTGGATATGCTGACCTCGCTGCGTGGTGTACAGAGCGAGGTCAGCATGATTAATATTCACAATAAAAATATTAGCCGAACATCATGAAGTCTGTATGTGTTTCATAGTGTCGAACAACCTTTGTACAGTTAAAGCCAGCAGTTACTACATGACGGAAACACCAACGTTATCTCTTTTATGTGTTTATACACAGGTCACGCTGATTACTGAACAAAAACCCAAAGATCAGATGTTAAACAGATTTATTTGCTCTCTCTCCTCCTTAAACATGTTTTTAATGTTAGTTATAATTCAGAATTGGCGACTGAAACACGTAGGACACATAAGAACATCAGGAAATAAAACATCGATAAATATAACCTCAGTAAAAGAAGTCAGCGGGGGTTACTACAGCTGTGTACCGGGGCCTGCGCTTTGTCGGTGGGATTGCTTGCGAGGCGAGCGGGTCTATCCCACGCTTTGCCGTGAGACTGGGACGACATCTCCGAAATCATCGAAGCACTTTTGCAAAGAGGCTGTATCTTGACAAACCGACCAGACACATGAAGATTAAACCGCTACATTCTCGGCTAAAAAAATATTAAAACGGTATTTGGTAACACACAAACAGGGTTTTTCAAAGTTCAGTTCTGTTAGCTTCCACATGCCGGTTGTTGTGTGCTAGAAACAATGGCCACCAGGCCAAAGCAATGGTTTTGACTCGATCAGCGTTAACCCCGCCCCCTGAGTTTGATGGGTGAGGCTGACAGATAAAATTATTTCATGATGAGAGCCAGGCGTCAGGACTGCCAAAATGAAATAAATAAATATATCATTAAATAATTAATTAAATGTGTCAATAATTAATTAAAATGTGAAATACATAAATAATTAATTAAATGTGTCAATAATTAATTAATTACATGCGTCATAACTATTTAATTAATTAATTAATTCCAATTTTAATTAATTATTGCCACATTTAATTAATTATTTAATGGTGTATTTAATTAATTCATTATGGCAGTCCTGGCGTTCCATACAAAAAGGCTCTCAAAACAATATATGTATGTGAATTTTTGCGTGTATTCTTATAATTGTTACCTTTTTCTTTTACCCCTGGCTTTGTGTGTTCATGTTCTGTTGTTTTGTATACTTCATCTGTTCGTTATGTGTGCGAGATCTCGCAAAACAAACTCGGGATCTCGCAAAAGTTTTAGCCGCATTCTTCGGACGCCGGCTCGAAGCCGACCGGGAGGTCAAGGCATGATGTGCCGGGAAAGCGGTGTTCCTCCCGGCTGTAGTAGGTCTCGACCTCCCGTTAGCTTCGAGCTAACGTACGATTCATCCACCTGTTATTTATCAGGTTCGCGGGGAGTTGGTTCCCAAACTTATTTTGGTATGTGCTTTTTTTCACGTCACGCTGTGCGCCACGTGATTGTTTACATGAGATGAATTGCAGAATGTAAGAATCATGTGCCTTAACTTGCCTCTTCCAAGCACCAGTTAAGTCGCCTATAGTCTGTTTATTTAGAGAATGTGACGTTATTCAGTGCTCCTCCCAAAGACCGTTGAGGCTGTTTGTGTCACTCCACAGAGCTTAGTGGTTCCTCTGGAAGCAGGTAGCTCTGATTGGCTGCTGTTGAAATAATAGCCTTTAACCTCTTCTGGGTTGTTTCCGCTTTCAGATCTGAAAATTATCACAGCTGAGTCTGGACAAAAGAGCGTCACTCTGACATGTCGAGCTCCAAACAACAGCAAGAACCTGATAGGTGTGGAGTGGAATAGAGCTGACCTGAAAGAAGAATATGTCCTCTTGTATCGGGATGAGCAGTTTGTCCCAGATTACCAGCATCCATCTTTTAAGAACCGGGTGGATCTGAATGACACACAGATGAAGGATGGAGACGTGTCTCTGATTCTGAAGGATGTGATTACTGCCGATGATGGGATATACGTGTGTCGTGTCCTCATCCCAGGAACAAAGCGCAGAAAGAGAACTGCTGAAACTGTCAGGAGCATCAGACTGAGTGTTGTTCCTCCAGGTGAGTGAGTAGAGTTGAGTGTGTGTGTGATCAGAGGTGAAGCTGCTTCCTGGTTGTTGATGTTTGTTTCTAAAGATGTTGTTGATGAGACTTTGTAGAAAGCAGCTGGTCTGAGTGATGTGATCAGAGTGCAGTAGATAATGTCTGACAGCAGTTTGAAGAGGAAATGGATTCTGTTCTGTTCTTCACTCATCACCTACCTGACAGCTGACACCTCACACCTGTTTCTCTCCTGCAGGTCAGACAGGAGGACTCACAGAGGATGGAGGGAAGGAGGATGGAGGGAAGGAGGCTGGATCTGTTGGATTAATCGTCGGTCTGTCTGTTGCTGCTTTCGTCATTGTTGCCACTCTTGCTGGTTTTTTGATCTACAGAAAAAAAAAGAGTCAGAGTCCATACCAGCTTCCAGCTGAGCTGTAGTCTATTTGAAATGTTTCAAAGCTTTTTTTACATCTTAACTGTGAGTCTTCTGTTGCTGTTCCAAAGCTTCAGTGGAGACATGGAAATATGACCTAGCTCCCGAATCTGGGCCCTGCACTATGAAGTGCGTTCAATTAACACCAGGGTACCTTTTCGTCATCTGCATTAATTTACGCTAACATTGGCAATGAGGATGACCAGGTTCACATGAACGGGGTAGCATGGGCGATATCTCACCATCGCATTGATCATTGTAGCCGATTGGCTGATTTCAACATTTTTTTTGTTTTGTTTTCTAAACTATTAGAAAAATATGAAGAGGTAACACATAAAACAGAAAAGTAGCACTGCTGCAAACAAGGCAGAGAAGGAGTTGAAAAGCAGTGCATTTCATTAGATTTCATTTTTAGTTTTAAAAGTGCTTTGTATGTGTAAGCTTGAACAGTATTGGTCAGTAAGACTGACCCTTAAAGGCAGGAAGTAAAGACAGGAAAATGGTGAGTGTGTGTGAGCAAGTGGGAGAAGATGTAGTTTTAGTACTAGCAGGCATTGTAAAGCCCAGAAGTACAAAATGTTTGCAGGCAGAAGGTTAGAATAATTTTTTTTGATTACATTAAAAAAAAAAAAAAGCTGCATCGAAGAATCTGTATATATTGCTGATGCTCATTGCGGAAACACAGACTTGTGAAACCTTCTATCCACTTGCACAGGTCAGAGGGATCCTCCAGGAATGATGATGGTAATTTCTGAAGACTTATTGGTCAGAAGCCAGTGATTTCATCCCTGCTGATCTCCAATCTGGATCTTAACCTGATCCGCAGGTATGAAATCACTGCTTTCTGAGCAATCAATTCTCTATGAAATAACATCACCGTTCCTGGAGGACCCCTCTAATCTCTGCACTGGTACTAGGAGAAAATTATCTAGCGTTTGTTTTTCTGATGAGCATCAGTAATAAATACAGATTTTTAGATGCAGCTATTCATTTTGTCCCCCCAGATTAACGATGTACCAGTAAGACGTGAACCATTTTTTTAGTATAGAAAAAAAACAGGTTTAATCGTAAAGTTACCTGGATAGCACAAAATTCTGCTTCTGCTATGTAGAATAAAGCACTTCATGAACTTTTACCATCTACCTAATCATCCTCATCTGACAAACAAACAGCAGAGGTGATAAAAATGAAAATGGATTTTGGATCCATGAATTTAAGCATTTCCATACTATTGGTGCAATAAGGGTGTGTTAGGCAAAAAATGAAATGAAAAATAAATAAATATAATAAAAACTTATAGAAATTAGATATAAATAAAAAAAACAGTAAAATATATCAACATAATCATGCATCAGCCTGAACGATGCAATTCATCACTTTGTGTGAGGAGCTGAAAATCCACTAGAGATCTACAGATGTGATGTTTGAATCAGAGAGTTGTCTGATAATGATCCAGAAACCTGGATCTGTCACACTGAGTCAATTAGAATACAATAGCCCTTTGTTGTCATTGTACAATTAAATTGTAAGTGTTCCACGCCAACTGGGAATAAAATATAAATGCTAATAGGAAGGAATAAATTACAAACAAGAAAAATATACATAAAACGATTATTTTCTTTTCAATATGAATGCCATGTTTGAAGCTAAAGCAGGTTTCTCAGCTAAACGTACTATACATACAACGTATACTATATATACAACGTTCTGACTCGTTGACATTCTTGACATTATTTAGCAGTGGCTCACAGTTATTCATAGGTTTAACAATGTTATCTCCCGCTGTCTCAAAAGTTAACACATACCAACTATGCTTATGAAGAAAACCAATTAAAAACCGTAAAAATAATAAATATTAAAAAGTAACATGTATTGAAATTAAAACTAAAATAAATTAAAAACAATAACCCAAAGTACTGAGATCCCTTTGAGATATGGGATAGGCTCCACGTGCTCTTTCTTTCTTTTTTTATGGTTGTTCATATATTTCATGTTCATTGGCTGTCTTTGTAGATGTTATCTTGGATAATGGAGAAGATTAGCAAAAAGTGCATCCTGATTTAAAAAAAAAAAAAAAAATCCAATATCCATCTTCCTTCTTCCACTTGTCCAAGTCAGTGTTGCTCAGGGGTTGGAGTTTTCCAAGGTGTGATATGTATAGGTACTATGCTTGTATCTATATTTTGGTTCATTGGCTGTCTCTGTAGATGTTATCATAAATAATGGAGGAGATTAGCAATCTTTTTTTTTTTTTTTTCTTTTTTTAAATCAGTCTTCTTCCAACCCTCTCTCAGGGTTGTGAGGGAGGGGGCCTGGAGCCTATCCCAGCTGTCATAGGGCAGGAGGCTCAAATGCACATTGTTTCAGTAACAGTGCACCACTGTTTAAAGAAAATAACATTGGCTTAAACCAAATAAGGATGAAGCAAGGACTTTTGGCAGACAATGAAGGATTTGTGAACAACTGCTACAGCCTTAAAATTTAATGAAGCTCGTTCCAGATTTGTTTAAAATATAAATTTCCCCCATTAAGACTGAATAGGATTAATGTAAAACGAATAAAGTATCCTGCTTATTTTTGACTTCTATCCTGCAAAAGAAAACCTAAATAAATAAATAAATAAATAATAATATAACACAGTTCCTGATGTTTGTTGTCTGTTTTCCTGCTTTGGTTCTTTACTCTAGAAGTGAATTTGACATGTTCAACATGTTCATGCGGGTCTAAGAGAAGCTGCAGCACTAAAGGTTTAAAGATAATTGATCACGCCTCTCCCTGAGCCTAATTCTGCTGGAGGTTTCTTAATGTTAAAAGGGAGTTTTTTCTTCCCACTGTTGGATAGAGGATAGAGGAGGGACGTTTACCATACTGTAACTTTGAAAGTATTTGTTCCTGTCATTCAGGGAAGTAAAATTTTCTGTAATCAATAAAGGGGGAAATCTGCTGTTGCTGTTAAAGGAACTTTAGTCATATTAGTGCTATAACAGCAGCTACTCAGAGACTGAAACCCCAGAGCAGACGCAGCACACAGATCTCTGATAAAACTGGCCGTGAGAGTGGAAACTTTGAATGTCAAATGTGCAAAGTTTCCGCTCTCATGTTTCCTCTGGTGGCTCTGTGAAGTCACACCAAAAACACCAAATGAGTTTAACTGAAGCTGTTTGAGACTGTTTGGGACTTCACTGGTTATTGTCAGTTATTATGAAATAAAACTCCAAGAGAGGGAAAAAGAAAGTTATGCAGTAAGTTTTGTTTCACAAGAATCGAGAGAGAGAGAGAGAGAAGACCACGCCCACTAGCAGTTTGTTTATCAGTGGAAAGTTTTCACAATTTGTCCTGGTATTTTACTCGTTCGAGGCATCTTAATGATATAAAGATCACTGTCCATGAATCAGATGGATAAACAGGTTTTTCTCTGTTTAATATGCAGATAAAAGTGAGTCACTTAAAACAAATGACCTCATTACAAATGAACCAGCTGGAGCTTTGGGGCCCTCTGGAGGTCTGATTTAAACACAGAGGCTGCTCTTATGAACACGACACGTATCTATTCATGGACTTCTAATATTTATGTTATGTCTTTAATAATATTTATAAACCAGAGTGTTGACTGACAAGTGCAGTGTTTGAATGTGTGTATGAAATATCAAGAAGCATTAATCAGCGCTGACTCACACATACACCCTGTCTTATCATAACCTGAATTCGGTTCAGCCCTTCCGTGGAAACGTATAACCTTCATTTGTATGTTTGTCCCTAACAGTCGGAGCAAATATAGAAAAACAGCTTTAAACACGTTCCTGGATTCATCTACAGCAGAGCTGAAGCTGGCTGAGCTGTTACTGGAATTCAAAGAACTGAGAAACACGTGTCCTGCACATGTTACTGTTAATCTGGATAATTTTCATTGATATAATTGGTGTGACTGCTTATAATATTTAGTGTCTGCTGGCTCTTTGGAGAGGGCACAGCAGAAGAAGCCCATTTTCTGTTTAATATTCACTGATTGTTTAACTTCTCTGATGTTTATTGATCCACTGTAATGTAGATTGTTTGCTCTCTATCAGCTCATATTTACAATTTTTATCATTTTCGGTTTTTTCCCTCTCATTAAAGGTCAGAGGTCACAGTGAACACCTTCACGTGTTATTGGTCGGACAGAATCTCCTGTGCTGCCACCTGCTGGTGATGAACTGTCAGAGGGCTTCATACACCAATCACTATAAGCATGTTATTCAGTTATAACCTTAATGACATAAACTACACACACACACACAAAACAGAAAAACAAAAACAAAAAAACCTACATGAATATGAAAGGGGTCTGAAAGATGTCAAGGACTTTTTTTTTACTACTGAATGGAAACTTATTACTATTCACATCGTGTGAACAGAATCTGAAGCTCAGTGATATATTTTGTTCATGTTTGACCTGTTTGTGTATTATAAGTATTTCATTTTGTTTCAACATCATGCATTTTTCTCCTCTAATAACAGGATCAGACGAGTTACTGAAAAGCTGTTGTACTCTAAGCCAACAATGGGAAACAGATCTTTCTTTTCTTTTTCAACAATGGGTTTTCTATGACCTTCTATGATGTATTTTGTCTCCGTGATACTGCAGGCTGACTCAGAGGTGACGTGAACTCATACGTTTGATGTCTCACATATTTGCTTCAGGTGATGCTGCCTTAGTAACTAAGTAGACTCAATAACACGTCCAAGAAGAACAAGATTTCTTTAAGCTTATCAGAAAAAGGATATGAGCAGAGATCTCGCTGAAACACACCTCAGGTGACCAGCAGAGGGAGAGAAATCCACTGAACAGGTGAGCATGCATATTTAAAGAAACAAAAGAAACCTGATGTCAGACTGAGATGCATCTGTTACTCTGACGCTGAGTTCTGGACTCACACTAAGGCTACGTTCACACTGCAGGTGTTGATGCTCAATTCCGATTTTTTGATCAAATCTGATTTTTTTGTCTGCTTGTTCACACTACAAATAAAATGCGACAGCAAAGGTGCTCTAGTGTGAACGCTCAAAGCGGCCCGCATGCGCAAAAGAAGACGTCACACACAACGCGCTCTGTTTAGACCCAGAACAAACAATAATGTTTGACTGATGGGCCTTAATATAAAGACTTCGGACTTCACGTTTCCCACTTTTGTGCTTTAAGTTTTGTTATTTACATAATAATGTAAATAACCTAATAATGATCCTTATCGCTGTTTTAGAGGAGCGCTGCTTCAAAGGATAGTTGCAGATTTCTGTCAGAATCTGCAGATTATACAGTACATAAAATATACGTGAAAATAAAATGTTCACGTTTCCCCAACGTTGTCTTCCCAACAGTTTCACTAACATCTACACTTATTGGCCAGGAAGCGTTCGCGATGTCTTCTCCGGAGCTGATAATTGGCGTCTGTCTTGTGTCAGTGATGTAAAAGACGGATTTAATGCGACATGACCATTCAAACAGCAGTCGCTTTCTAAAACATCGGATATGTATCGGATTCAGGACCACATATGAAAGTGACCCAGATCGGATGTGAAAATATCGGATTTGTGCCGTTCACACTGTCATAGCATGATCGGATATGGGTCGCATAGGGTCAAAAAAGTTGGATTTGATGCGCTTTCGCCTGCAGTGTGAACGTAGCCAAAGACAAAAAGGTTGCATCATATCTGGATGTGTGCTGAATCATCAGGAATAATAACATGCCAGAAAACTGAAGAATACCTGAGGGCCTCATTCTAGCTCACCTGGTCCCTTTACCTGAGTAACATCCCCCATAAACTGATGTAAAATGGTAAGATTGGTGCATAAAGATTCATCGTCTGACCCTCTGCTGAATGGGTCTCTCACAATGCTCAAACACAGAGCCTCCTTTCATGAACCGGGTTCTTATTTTGGACCAAGCTGCACAGAAGCGACATTTGACTTTTTTTCCCCTCTAAAAACATGATCATTGATCGATTAGGAATTACCTGAGTGTGAATGGGAGACATATCACATGACTTATTTATACTCAGTTTGTGTGATTATTTTTGTTAACTGATGATTTGTAAAATTATTGAAATTACTTTTTGATGACGGTGTTAGTAATGACTGGTTGAAAGTAAGAATGTCATATTCATATTGTCATATTTTTCTACTCCTGTATGTGGATTCATTGT